AGGTGAAAAAATACATCAATTACGATGCGAGTTTTTAGGTCATCCGATCGCTTTTAATCTGATAATCCAGTTTTCACTGGATCGTAGGGGACCAAATTTCTTCTGATTCCTTAGGTTTGATTTTCGTTAAACCATATCGCTTTATCCAACTCTGACTTCGTCGTGAGTGAAACCAGCCTCAAGTGAAATAAGTTCATATATATTACTTGTCGATATTACGATAATTATCCGTATTGCCCAGACATCTATACCCTATCGAGTGTCTTAGCAATAAAATCGAGTTCACACATCTATGTGGGAAACAAAATACTTGTCAACTGCACGTGTTCATAGAAATAGTGGTGCTCCTACGAATTTGAAATAATCAGGATCCAGAGTCGACTACAAAAATGATAAGAAACTTTGTCAAGTGCCCTTTACTGGATCTACAAACCTTTCACCACTGAGGATTGACAAAAATCCGTCCCCGCGTGGGCTTGAACCACCAACCTGTCGGTTGACAGCCGAATGTGCTAATCGACTGCGCCACGGAGACTTGTTACTTTAGAGCGATGTGGTGAACTGAGAAATTTTATCAGCAGCTGTGCGCCAACACAGAGTCTTCTTTTGTAACCCTTCCCACCCCAACATTAGTATGTGTTCTTTATATATTTCCTTCGACAGACAAAGATCACTTATTTTGTTCTGGTGTTTGATTCTGGGGTGATATTACAAAGAGAAATACGATGCTAGTCAGTCGAAGAGTTGAAAGTGTTAAGAGTAAAGCATAATTCAAATAAGATGTGTTTTCTTACTTCGTTTTGACATGTAGTGACGGAAATGTTGGAATAAGACTGATTGCATGACCGGTGATATCTAGGTGTGAAATGATTAAAGGGGAATATAAAATGGCTCGATTTTTTTGCCTTAAAGTCTTTGAAAGTCTTTGATTTTGGTGGCCGAAGGTCCGATCTTCCCTTCGACTCAGTGGAGGATTGAAATGAATACATTTTTGTGTTCAGGAATCTCAAAAGGCTTCTGTCCTGTTAAAGATTAAAATATTTAATTTCCCTCCCAGTATTCCCCAAAAACAACCAGAAATCAAAGTAGAAGCTAAATCATATTCATTGTTACAGAAAAACATATTTTCACGAGCTAATTAACAATACTTCCCTATTGATCGATCGATCGATTGCTGTACAATTCACACATCACTGATGTAAATTAACGGCTTGATCTTTCGCCTGTGTTCAAGAACGCACTAAGAGTAACAAAAAAAATCATGTACACGCGGGGCTATATATAGATTTCAAAACGAGCACGTTGTCAATCCTTTTTCATCCTCAAGTTGTGAGGGAATACTTCTCGGTACATAACTCGCATCTAACAACACCACACGAACTTACATCTACATTTGACCTGCCTGTAACGTTCTACCGTCCGATGTCGCTGTTTACAAGAGTTACATAGATATCTGCACTTTTCTTCGGATTCAACGTCACTTGCGCATGTCCTTCCTCGCTATCCAGGTGAGCTTGCGATCGAATAACGTACGCAGAATAAAGGGTGCAAGTTTCTAAAGAAACTGTAGTGCTGCATCCGTGAGAGAGTGTAACAGGTAATTTAGTGTTAACAACTGAGTTGAAAACGTAAATTGACCACCGTAAAAGGTTAAAAGGCTGACGTTTCGGGCATCAGCCCTTCGTCAGAGCGATTGGAGGAATTAGGGTTGTGTTTGGGTTTACATGCAGAAAATGAAGCTATGCTATTGGTGGGAATATGGTGAAAAATATATATTATTAAAAATTGTTGTTAAAACTCTCAGGCCAACAAAGGTGCAGGAAGAAAGTCTAGGAAGGAAGGAAGGATAGGAAGTCTGTGTTTCGATTTTTCCGTCGTTCAGTGCTCGATACGTAGACGTAAAGTGAGACATATATTGAGATAGGAAAAATACATAGGTTACTTTTTTATCCCGACAAGCCTGTTTCGTGATCAATAATATACATGGAAAAATTACTCAGTTCTAATTGGTAAAGATAAATGCAGTTTTCAGGTAATTCAGTGCAGAAGAGAGTTAATTCAGTGTAGAAAAGGGTTAATTCAATGCAAAGAAAGTAACAATTTAGACATTCAGATTGGTCAATAATTAAAGCAACTCACAGATAGCCAATCAAATGCGAGCCTTGGATGTCGCAACAAAATTTGAAAATTTGAAAATTACGAGCGAAACAATGGCCGGCGTTTTAAGTAGGTTTTCTTTCGCCACTGCAGCTGAAAAACAGTTCAAACAACGAAACCACTGTAAAAGGCACTGCTTTTTGGTTGTCTGTTTGGAAAAAGTGGTGTTCAGAGAAGGGAATTGCCAAGGAAATCGAAAATTACGAGCCGACCCAGCTTTAAAACACTTTGCTGGAACGATCCAACGCCGAAATTAAAAACAAACATGGTTAAACCTCGGAAACGACGATTCCATTTCATCGAAAGTGATTCGGACACAGACTGAACAATTCCTTGAACTGTTTAGCCGGACTTTGGACTTTTTTGCGCCTTAAAGATGTGAAGATATCATTGCATATTATTGTTTTGATCATACGCGGTTGTTTTGACCGAACACACGATTTGAATAAATTATTTTGTACTTGATGCGCACGCTTTGCTTATGCTTAATTAATTATGATAAGTAATCTCGTATTTTTCCATGTATATTATTGACACGTAATCACATGATTTTTCTCGTACAATTTGGAATAAACAAGCACTAGTTAATTTTTTCAAAGACCTCAAATTGCACTTGCCCTACGGGCTCGTGCAATTTTGTTAGTATTTAAAAAAGTTTACTCGTGCTTATTTATTCCAAAATGCACTCGTAATCATGTGATTACCTAAACTAATTCACTTTTTAGGGGATTTTATTGACAAGAATATTCGTAGCCATCGATAATCTACTCATGATAAAATTTGCATAATTGATATGGCGACAAATTTAGATGTTTTGTTCAGCTGTTACGCAGAAACGCTTTGTTTCTGTGCCACAAGATCATTTCCTTTGTTAGCTGATGATTAGTAATTTTTCTTTAAAGAAAACGATGGTTACGAGTATGATAGTTAAGAATATTCGCTAGATTGTCAATTTATTTACTCTAGCTTCCACAATCTTACCAGATCAAATCTAGCGGAGCTGCAATACTCGATGGGAATGTCAACTTGGTGGTCAGATAGCAGCGTCGACTCTTGGTCCTCACTGACTGAATCCTCGAGTTAAATCGAACCAGTAGAGATATCCCCTGCATTTCCGCGAGATTACCCTCGATAATTCGAACCCTCGATATTCGCCCCTGCATTTTAATTTGTTTAGTTTTTCCTTTTTCATCATTACACACCAGGTCTGAGTGCAGTCAAGTTTTTCTTGCATGTATCATTCATAAAACCTTTTTGCTACAATCCGTCTCTTGTTTGCACCATTCAGCTATATTTTCCTTCTGCTTCTCTTATAAACAGCAGCACCACCCCACTCTACCCTACCCCTTCCCCCGTTAGTATTACTGAACTTTGGTAAATTCAGTCAGACTGGGAAAAGCTCACCAAGGCATGACTGTTGGATATGATTGACAGTTGTTCACTTGAAAAGTTACGCATTTATTCGTCGGTGTTACATTTTCCGCTTTCGACTTAAAGGCTGCCTTTTTGTGCGAGTAATTTCTCACGCCTAAAGTGATCTTCGATTTGCTGTTTACACAACAGAGCATTGATCGAATTTATCAGGAATAATAAGCCTGTAACCACGTCGTTTATCGATCTGTCAAGTCATCCAGTGTAGTTGATAGTTTTGCCGCTTTGAAGCAGTGCTGATAAACGAAACAGGAATTCTGCACCGGCAAGCTCCATTCTTTGAGGTGGGTTTCAGTCAGCTTTTTGAATGCATATTTCAGTTTGTAATAATTAACTAGTTCACATCTTGATCAAGTTCTCGTGATGTGCGTACGTAACTCAAGCTAAGACTATTTCATGCTCACTTAACCGTTCAGAGTTCTCGTGAGTTCTTAGTAGAGTTTCACGGCGTGAAAATTGTATTTGAGGTTCCACCCAGCGAACAAAGGTTATTTAAGCCTGTGCTAAACAAAATCGAACCATTTGAATCGATATAACCATTCTTGAAAGACTGTTTTGAGAAGCTTTTAAAATTTACGCTTCATTTCCCGTAACAGCTCATCAGAATGCAATGAAAAAAAAAGTAGGGCCAAAATTGTACCCTAAAATTTTAGTGGAGTGGACGCGTGCAATTATGGAACTGGAACTTGCGGAGAGTTGTGGAAATGTGACGTGGAGAAGTATGAAGGGGTAAACAGAGTTGAGGGAGTTGAGACACGTGTAAGTGCGAGTGTGATCTTGACGTTTTAAAATTTTTAAATGATGAAATAAAAAAAGATTTAAGGTCTAAATTAGAATGGTGGGAGAAAAGTTAAAAAGTTACCAAAAGCGGTGAAAATTCGATACTTTGGATGCATGAAAGTGTTGACGAGATAATAACTTGAAATAAATCAATCGAACACAAAACAGGACATTAATAAGAAAGGAAGAAGGTTTCATGTAAATTAATGTAGAAGTTTGGAAGTATGTAAGAAAAGTGAAATGTGTGATGGTGAAAATTCTATAATTGTGGATTTAAAAACATCTGAGAGTTTTGAAGTATAGATGTGTTCGATTATTTAAGTGTGGAAAGAATAGTAAAGACGACGAAAGAGAGAGTTCTAAATTTAACGAATATAGCATTAAGGCTGGTTATAAACTATTAAAAATCTCACATAACACAGACAATCTTGGTTTTAAAAACATAAAAACCAACAAACCAACTTCTGCAAGGGGAAGACACTTTCAAGAAGAACAATTCAAACAAAATTATCGAGACCAAATATGCTTCTGTTATGAGCTACCATTGTTCTTATGTTTACGTCGATTAAACCCGGCCTACCTTCCCTCTAGGTGTTAGGTAAACTTGTGACTTAGAGAGCAAGAAACAAAGCATGGCTTCGTCGCCCGAGACAGGCACAGAACATCGACGGTGGTTGGTGGTTGGCACTGTTCTTAACAGAGTTCTTATGCCATATCTCAGAAAAAAGATTCAACAGGAAATGAAACCATTTTACCAGAATCTGTTGGCAAAGTATGGATTAGACAAGCAAACCTATCCGACTCAGCTGAAGACTATTCCACCAACCACCCTGAAGCTGAACTACGAAAGTATCAATAATAACGCCGCGCGGGGTCGAGACACCCATTGCTTTGACTATTGTGTAAAGGACGAAGTATTATTAGCTAAGTTGTTCATGAAACCTTTCATGGCACATTTCAATGCATTTGATTCCTCTTTTGATGCCTCGGCGGCTCTGGCTGTTCTTTGCTCTGCTCCACCATTCAGCTCTGCAGCGCCGTCAGCTGAACTTGTGAGATCTGAAGTACGAAATGACTGGGCCCATTGCGACTATGCGTCATGGACGGAGGTGAAATACAATACATGTTTTGATCGAATGGAGACCTTGGTTGAAGACCTGAGATTTGCCCCAGCAGAAAAAACAGAGCTCCTGGCTGAGCTACAGTTGTGGAGGAAGCATGGTAAGATGTCATTACACATATTTGAAGAAATATTGCTTTGTATTCCCCTCTAGCCGAGGAGGTCTCAACCAAAATTGTATCTTAAGGCCGATAGAATATGCTGGCTGTTGAAGAGATACGGATTGCAATCTCAACGTAGACATTCATGAACCAAATTGAAGACATAAATTCGAAAAAAATCGACAAATCTTCATTTAGTGTGAACCAAGTATGAACCAAGTATGACTATTTAATGTGAAACACAGAGCAATGAAACTAAATGAGACTTCCCTTTTTCTCTTAGTTTGTATTACTTTACATAGAAAGCATAGACTTGAGCTAAGATGTCACACCTTTGACAGCTTGATCTTTGTACGTGCTAGTTCCCAAGCTCTTTGGAGCTCAAACTGCTGATTTCCGTTGATTCTAATCGCTTATATAGCGCTTAGCATCGTCCAGTTAAGATCAGTTCTTCTTTAATTCGAAACAGTGGGCACACGCGCCCGCTTTCTGCTCGTCTCCTCCAGCTGCTAGTCTGGCGAAACAAAGGCAGGCAACCGTATGGGTTTGAGCCCACGTGACGTGAAATGATTGTTTATCTCTAAATTTCGCTGTAATTGGCAACATCCGATCTCACTTTCATTCAAGTAATCGAGAATAATTCCTTAAAAAGCTTACAATTTGCAGCTTTTGATCATTTACTCTCAGTTTCCTGTGTTTACTTTCAGTTTCCTATAATCATTTACTGTCAGTTTCCTGTTTACTTTCCTACGAGGGATCTGGTAATTTTTATAGGAAGGATAATTCTCACCACCTCCTCCCCCCCTTTTAACCGACACCTCTCAAATCATCGAGCCGTGTAGCTTCCTAGTTTCCATCCCCAAGAACCCCGACAAACCTCTTTCACTTTCAATTATCGCTCCCCACCTATTTTTCAAGCATGTTTAAGGTCGATTGGTGTCCAACATATATGCCACAAATCATTACATTTACGCTTCTCTAAACAACCCAAAAGCTTACTCTATTTTTCCACTTCGTTTCCTTTAATGATGAGTGACGTTGGTCTTTAGCTCACTTTGAAAATTGATACTCTATTACCGGTTTTCTAATTGCTTGTTTGTTCTAATTTTTCCTAGGATTAGAATTTTGCGTTGGTAAGCCACTTGATGACACATGTCTTATTGTTATGCACGAAAATATAAATCAAGTACATGAAATGCTCGAGTCTGAATTTAAAAAATTTCAGGCAACATTACATGAATTGAGCAGAAGCAAGCATGAAGAACAAACAACAAGACAAGACCTGGATAAAATGTTGAGTGATTTCAGTGTCTTCGCTACAAGAGACAAATCTATAGTATTTGATGCGCCAGATCGAAACAAGAGGTTTACAGGAAGACAAAAAGAGTTAGAATCGCTTGAAAGGTGCCTCCCCTCAGAAAACAGCGACCATAAATTTAGAATGGCGGCCATTTGTGGTCTTGGCGGATGTGGAAAAACGACCTTAGCAGCTCAATTCGCTTGGGAGCATAAACCACAATACGAGGGAGGCGTATTTTGGTTCTCCATGGAAGATGAAGAGAAGTTTGAAAGCTGTGTAAATGACTTAGCGTTACGTTTAGGACTGATGGACAAATCATCAGATTTTACACTAGCACGAATTCTAACGCTTATATCTAAGCAGGAAAAGCTTTGGCTGATGGTTCTTGACAACGTTGACCAGCCAGTTCTTTCTGAAAAAATGCGTAAAGTTTTGAGAGGAATATGGAAAAGGGAGTCAAACGGTCACATGTTGATAACAACAAGGCGTGAAAGAAAAGAGATCTGTCGGTGTGTGGATCTTGAGCCAAATTGTTTTGTAGAAATCACCTCTTTCTCTATCGAGGAAGCAAAAGAGTTTCTTTTGAGTCATTTCAGCGGTGAAAATGCTGGAGTCCAAGAGGATGCGCTAAATGAGCTGGTTGTTGAGCTTGGTTGTCTTCCCCTTGCCTTGGAGCAGGCTGGTGCACATATCAAATCTCTTGGCTGTACTGTTAATGAATATTTAAAACAATACAAGCTCGAAAGGTTCAAGCTGCTAAGCGAGCATCGGGCAAATCCCTCGAGGGAGTATGACTCCTTGAATCGTCTTTCAGTCCACACTACATGGTTATTGAACTTTGAGTACGTAAGGAACTCAAAATATGGAAAAATTGCAACCAGGTTCGTACATGCAGCTGCTTTCCTTGATCCAGATGAAATCTATGAAGGACTCATCAATGCAGAGATGCTTTCCTCTGACGTTGTATCTGAAAACAAAATAGAACTCCCCCTCACGAATAACCATATAGTAGAAGTTTTGACCAAGTTTTCACTTTTCCAGAGGAAGTCTGCTGGATGCATTAAAATACATCGCCTAGTGCAGCAGGTTATTCGTGGTACAATAACATCAAAAGAAGTCGAAAAAGCATTGTACACAACATTTCAGTTATTAAAGAAGGCCGCTCAATCACCTCGTGAATCAGCAACAGATAAGTCTGTTTTCTCTATTATTCGCCATTGGTTGGCATTGAAGCGACACGTCGAACAACAACTTAGAGCCACACCGGATGACTCATCGGCTGAGAAAGTAGCAGCATTGATGAAAAGCGGTTCTAGAGAAATTGTGTTCGAAGTCTCTCGCACCATAAAAGGGCTATCGCAAACTTTAGAAAACCGTCGTGGATTATTAGCGTTGCTTGATGTCGACTACGACAAGGGTCTAGGCAGAAAAGAACTAAAAAGGACATCCCTAACATGGCCCCCTCTATCTCCCTCAAGATTTCTCTCGGGATCGCCGTCAGGATTGCCTCAAGATTGCGCTCAGAATTTTCCTCAGGATTGCCCTTTAGGATGGCACTTAGGATCGTCCTCAGGATCACCCTCAGGATCGCTCTCAGGAGCGCCCTTTGGATCGCCTCAAGAATGGTCCTTGGATAAGGCCCTTAGACCCCCCACCAGGATTACCACCAGAATTGCCCGTAGGATCGCCATGATATTCCTCTGTGGCAATCCACGTTCTCGTCGTAGTGGTCACCAATGAACGCCATTGACAATGCTTAAGCAAGCAGGGTCGCGCGCATTGTGAAAACCTCATTTGGCGGGAAATTATAAAAATGTTTTCCCCACAAAACTGCCACCAAAGCTATCGAAAGCTCAATCAAATATACCGAACTTGCAGAACGTGAGAGACCGTCTTCTTTTCAGTTTTGAAGAAAACCTTCTAAACGGTGAAGAATTCATCCATCTATATGATATGAATACTTCAAAGAGCCCTGATTTTCCTCGCCGGCAGTGCGACCCATTCGATTTAGATGAATTACTAGACGACAAGTGTAAAAATTTAAACAGGAAAAGATTTCAAGATCGATAGAAAATAGCTATTTTAATTTCAATGAAATTGTCAATCACAAAAGGCACCAACTATACGGATATTATCACTTTTTATTTAGAGGAGCATGACAATATCTCATCGTTTAAAATAGGGGTTGAATTAATAACTTTCAATGGTAGATTGTAACCTCCAAATCATGCAACTTCAGTTCTGAAGCAAAACGCCCATGTGCACGAAATCAATTTGTAGACTTACTTAACAGAAATCCAGAGAAGCACTTTTATTTCGATCTCTTTCTGAATCCATAGTATTTCGTTTGTTTGTGTATATGATTGTATCACTCTTTGGTTTCACGATTTTATTTCATTTTAGAATAAAACGACACTTCGGGCCTGTTCATGAAAATTTTCAAGAAAAATACAACAATGTGCATCCTGATTAGAAATCTCGAATTTTATTTTTTATTTTAAGGTTACATACATTGTAATAGAGTAAAAAATGATCAGATCTAGTATGGAAATGCTTTTGTGTCGGTAACATGTATAAAATGCGCCACAACTTTATGCGCACCTAATTTTCTCGTGCCCGGCGTCAGACTCAAATTGGCGTTATTCAGTTTAGTTTTGCTGTTGTGATCGAATTTGCTTGAAATCTTCCACTTTGACACGGATCACAAAGACAAAGGGTGGCAATAAGTAGTTTTTTTTTCGAGGGAGATATTTTTATTTGGATCATAATCTTTAACGGCCTTTGGTCTAAAACAGTGTCATGTTCTGTCGTAAGGTTTTGAGTTGTTCTGATTTTCCGAATAAAGTCACTATCAAGTTCAAGGAGGCTTACACCATGGCCTTACTCATAGTCTCAGTCGAAAGAGCGCCATCGACAAAGTGAAAATCGCAGTCGTAAACGGTGTCATAAGCTGACCGGAATCGGTGTCAGAAAAATCGGAACTGTTCCATTTACTTCCGATTCCCCTCATGACTCCAAAGCTTATGATCCAGTGAAAACTGAATTGTCGGAGTCGCAGGCAGAGGTGAAAAAATAAACCAATCACAATGCGAGTACTCATGCCATCCGATCGCTTTCAATCCGACAATCCAGTTTTCACTGGATCGTAGGGGACCACATTTCTTCTGATTCCATAAGTTTGATTTTCTTTGAATCATATCGCCTTATCCAACTCTGACTTTGTCGCGAATGAAAACCAGCCTTATGTGAAATAAGTTCAAATGAATTATTTCTCGATTTTTCGATGGTTATTCGTATTGCTCAGACATCCATACCCTATCGAGTCCTAGCGATAAAATCGAGTTCACACATCTATCTGTGAAACAAAATACTTGTCAAGTGCACGTGTTCATAGAAATAAAGGTGCTCTAACGAATTTTTAGATGACCAAGAAAAAAGGGGGAGAGGCAGGCAAAAGGATTAAAAGGATTCAGAGTCGACTACAAAAATGATAATGACCTTTGTCAAGTGCTCTTTACAGGATCTAATAGGCTTTCACCATTGAGGCCTGACAAAAATTCGTCCCCGGGTGGGCTTGAACCACCAACCTTTCGGTTAACAGCCGAACGCGCTAACCGATTGCGCCACGGAGACTCGTTACCACTTAACGCTACGCTGAACTGAGAAATTCTCTTAGCAGCTGTGCGCTAACACTTGCAGCGTTTTCTTTGGTAATCCTCACCACATTTGTATGAGGGTCCATAATTGGTCTTTTCGGGATCCGGGATATGGCTAATTTAAAGGCCGGGATCAGGGAATTTACAATAAGAGGGGAGCGGGATGCGGGATGGTTATAATAAGCGGGACTCGGGAATCTGCGATTTTGAGGAGCGGGATTCGAGAAATAATCATATCAAACGAACCGAGATATCTAGGTGTGAAATGATTAAAAGGGGAATACAAAATGGCCCCTTTTTTTTGTCGCGAAGTCTTTGAAAGTCATCGAGATTGGTGGCCGTACGTTTGTTCTTCACTTCGACTCAGTTGAGGATTGAATAATATATCAATCTCAACAAGGCTTCTGTCCTTCTGTTGTGAATTTAAAATTTAAATTTCCCTCCCAGTATTCGCCAAAAACAATCAGAAATCTCGAGTAAATCTACAACATATTTATTGCTACAGAAAACTTATTTTCACGGGCCAATTAACAATACTCCGCGATCGATCGAGTACTATACAATTCACACATCACTATTGTAAATTAATGGCTTGATATTTAACCTGTGTGCAATAACACAAACAGTAACAAAGAAAACCATGTACACGCTATATGTAGATTTCAAAACGAGCACGTTGTCAATCCTTTTTCATCCACAAGTTGTGAGGGAATACTTTTCGGTACATAATTCGCATTTAACAGTACAGCACCACACGAACTTACATCTACATTTGACCTGCCTGTGACGTTCTGCTGTCCGATGTGGCAGATTACAAGAATTACATAGCGATCTGCACTTTTCTTCGGATTCAAGGTCACTTACGCATGTCCTTCCTCGCAATCCAGGTAAGCCCGCGGTCGAATTACGCACGCAGAAGTCTGGGGACGAGTTAAGATAGACCAATTTCTTCTGTTTCCTGGTCACCAGTCTGTCACGGTTGTTGTCTCGTCTGTGAAGTTTGCTATTAATGAATGACACCCGAATGGCTGAACGGTATTTTCTTTTTAGCTCCTGTCCAATCACGTTAAAAAGGGCCAGTTCTTTCCAGCAGGTTTTCATGGTACAGCTTCCGGTAACGCCATGGCATCTACATTCTTTTCTCAGCTTTGAGCGGACCACCTAAATTGGATGAAGAAAAAAAGGAACATCAATTCTCGGTTGCTTTCATGACAATAAACATCCCGAATAAATTTGCTTTTCCTTCAATTTTTGAAAAATAAGAGGTTTGGCATACAATCATAGCACAGTGATGATAACAAGATTTGAGTTAACCTTTTTATACAGATAAAGAAACAGAAAAAAAATTAATAAATAGCCTACCTTTCTTCCTACTTGATTATTGTGCAGGTTGAACGCTGTACGAGCGTCATTTCCTTTCTCTAGTCTGTCAATAAACCGTCTCGTCTCTTTCTCTCCGAACTTGATGTCATCACTGCATCCTCCCCACTGCCAGTCGCTCTTTCCTTTTGGTTGTTTTCTTGTTTTTCCGCACCTGCATCCGGGTATTCTGTTCTGTCTGCACTGAACAGTGAGTTCGTGAGTAATAGCAGCTGCACTGATGGCGTGAAGGAAAGCTGTTTCTCGAGTTGCTGCAATGAAAAAGAGAAGTGGGTAAGGAAGAGCGTCCACAGAGCACGGTCATGAAACACAAAATATTCTATAAATAGACAGCTTTGATATATATATGTGTGTGTGATTCACATAGACGGCGTGTTTCATGACGTGTTACAACGTCTCTAATTTCAAGAAAAAAGTTGAAAATGCCTATTTTTACTGGGTAAGGAATTCCGAATTCTAAATTCTTCATAACAGAGCATTAAAAAAGACATTTTGAATTTTCTCTACAGGACGTTTAAAAAGCTTCTACAAGAACTCGGGTGAAAATTCGAGGCGTTTCTTAGCAAAAATGGCGCGGACCAGGTCAGATTTAATCTCAAGCTGTTAAATACGTAAGTACTGCATGGGCATTGCTTACAGTGTAAACAAAGTATAAACTCAACTTACCGTGGGGCAAAGTTCTTTTAAAAAAGATGGGTAACTTCTGAAATACATTCTTGTCGTGCAATGAGCAGTTCCAAATCTCGTTCTGAAATAACTTTTGGCACTCTGCCAGTCCACGATAACCTCCCTCCTTGACAATACTCCATAGCAAATTGTAACTCTAAAAAATAAATGATTGCGAAAATAAGTGCATTGTGCGTTGTTTTACTGCCTGGCTTCACAAAAGCCACGAACAGGTAGAAAATCCACGTACTGTAAGTTATCATAACAATTTATTCGTATAACAACATGATTTCGATTGCAATTTGTCTACAAAGTAAATTATCCTAGGACGAAAAAATTGCTTGAGCCCGTAAGGTGAATGGCTTTTGGTAGTCATTAAAAAATTTACAAGAGCTGATGTACACCAAATTTCACAAGTAATCATGTCGTTACCTTTTAAAAATTCACGTGAAAAATGCATCCACCCTGATACGCACGTAAAAAAATCGCAACCATTGATACTCATCACATACCAGCAAAAAAAAAAATAGGCACAAAACGCAAGTGTATTGAAATCATTCCGATAGTGAAATTAACTTTACAGCCTTAACACTATTACAATTATCATAATCATTTTATCATCCACATACCCTCTGTCGAAGAAAACTGCTTTCCCTGATACTGTCAGACCTGAAACGAAACAAATATCTAGTTAGATGGCATGGTTTTTTCGTTACATAGAAGATAGCATTTCTTGAACTCTATGCTCTGCGGTTGAAGAACTTGATCTTTAATTTTCTTATTTGTAGATAAACTGTTAAGACTCTTTACAGCAAAAACTTTGTTTTCCATTCCTATTTCTTCATTTCTTTCGATTCTGATCATTTCTAACTTGCGAACTACGTTTTGCCTAGTTAAGCATCACTATGTTATAAATTCACGGACAAAAATCGCAACGAAAATAACACCAGCAAAACATATCTAAGTAACCTCTAATTTTTGTTTTCTTCGTGCTAAATTGGAAGTAGATAAACCGCGTTGTAAGTAGCCTCTATCAAGGGTACAATTTCAAACTGTGTTTGCCAAAACAGCTATGAAACCTGTTTTCGTTTAGTGCGAATGGGGTAGAGCATAAGTTGTTCACTTTTCACGCGTTTTCAGCGTAAACTCTTCGTCAGAGCGTATGGCTGCTCGCTCTGTTTGAAAGGAAATTTAAATGAAGACTTACTTTGTAGTTTTGCTGTGTTCTTGCAGGGAAAGATCCAAAAATAACAGAACCACCAATGACACAAGAAAGAGATTCATGATTAAACGTTTCTCAACCTACGCTTGATGCGAGTTCAGATCCTGTAATTGTTTTTTTGGGAGTCTTATATACTAGTGACACTTAATACGAATATGCAGAAACACGCCCATTAATTAAACACGCGAACAAAAGATTGAATCAGAAGCATCCACGCGAGACTAGGTGTGATATTTTAGTTTGATTATGGAGGCGAGACTTTTCCTAACAATAAAACGGAAAACAACAGCAACTTCAGCTTATTCTCAATTCGAAACGACAAAGAAATAATTTCGATAACATAAACTCATCAGTTTTTTTTCTAAGTGCTGCTGTCTATACTATTTTAAGGAATCCTTTTCAAAGAGCAAGTCTGTGGCGGGGTCGATAACCTACTGTTCACCTCTGACAAGCTTCTTTACTGTGCGTGAGTCAGAACCAAAAAAGCTCAAATTTCCTCGAAGTAAGGGTTGATAGAGTACGTATAAGAGGCTAGAAAAGTGTTTACGCGTGACGCACAATTAAGCCCAAAATAAGTACGCAGCGCTCGAGTTATACAGGAGGGCAAGTTATAGTCAGATTTGAAGCTTTCCCTTTGAAATTCGCGATGTGTAAAAAACTGTTCAGAGTACACGTGACGCACGTTTTTTTCCAAAATTTGTGCGCGAAACTAAATCATTCCCCAACCCCTCTCCTTTTGCTACCCCTTAATTAAAAGCTGAACACACCTGAACCAATCGGGCCACGAGAGACACAGAAGCTTTTTAACCATGCTTACACTGTTCTCAACACGTAAACAAGAGCGAGAGACAAATATTTGAAATTGAGACGTGCACATAAAGATAGCTATACTAGGAGCATAATCAGTCAACTTTTGTGAGCGTCAGTTTAGGAATAGCTTCGAGGGAAAATTTTAAGAGAAAATATGGAAGACCTTAGTGCGAACGCGAACATGGTATTAATTTGAATGCATCTACACGAGAAAAGGTGTGACATTTTTGATGAAAGGAGGAGGTGAGACTTTTTTTCACAATAAAGCAAAGAACAAAAGGCGGGAGAGTAATTCTGAATTTGTCGACAACAGTTTATTTAGAGTGGGACGTCGAGAACCCTTGTTTTTTCAGCCATAAATCGTGATGATTTGTTCTGACGAACGAATGTTCTGGCTCACGCTCGAACGCCAGCTGTAGAAACTCTTTACGGTGGCCAATTTACGTTATTAACTCAGTTGGCAATACCGGTAGTGTATACCCTGCTATACTCTCCCACCGACGCAGCACCACAGTTTCTTTAGAAACCTACCCCCTTCAATTCATTACAAGTGATCGACAAATTTGGAAGACAAAGAAGCGGGAGCCTGATTTGTTGTTCGCGGGTATGATTGCGGCTAATTGATCGAAACCATCAATTCTGACGAAAAGTTGTCGATACTTCAGTCTCTACTACCAATAACAGTCGTTCATCCGACCACCTTCATCTCAAGGAACAAATACAGGATCCAAGAATCGATACTAGTAAAAAAATAGAATTTAAATATCCATCGATCAAACGCATTCAGATATATAACGGTAATCTTTTACTCTTTCCTTGACATAATTTATCCAGTTCATAACATGTAATTTGTGATAATCGCAATCAACATTAATTAACATTTTGCCAGCACGTATCAGAGGACTGGAGGCGGGTACGAGGTGTGCATCGAGTTATGGGGTCGCAGTTTGTAATTTGAGGTCGTTAGTAGGGAGAGGCATTCCACTGTCAGCCTTCGCCTTGTCAATTTTAATCCTATCCTCAGAGGCCGAAAGAATCGTTTTTCCTTTTATTTTACTAAACTGAATTCAAAAGTTTAACCTAACGTTCCCAGTGAAAAAATTCTGAAACCTTTAACAGCACCCGAGTCATTTAGAAAAACGTATTTGAAGTAAAAGTCAGTAAAATCAGGAAGGTGTCATAATCTCGTACCTGGCGAGTCCCTTGGGGAAATTTTCGCGGCAACCGCTCATCTTGGGGCTTGTTTTTCAATTTATTTGCATATTTTGTTTGCAAAATTCTCATGTGGAAGTTCTTTACTTATGAAAAAAATTATTTGCTGATGAAAAAATCAAAACCGGACGAAAGCCCGGTAAAAAATTATTAAACAACAACGACAACAAAAACAGGCTCAAAGATAAGAGAAAAAGTAAAATTCTGTCAAGAATGCGAACCTTTATGAGCTAAAATCTTGCATTTCATTTTAGGACGAAGACATCCGCTTTGAGCGAATTTATAGGGTTTTTAGATTTGACCGATTTTCGTCAAATATCGCCAAAACATTTCAGGAGTAATGACAAACGTAAGTATGTCGGAAAATTTTGATATTTGAAATATTTGTCCCGTGGCGTCCATTTACGCAAAACGCCTCACACTTTTTTAGCTACTCCAACTTTAGAGTATTGGAGGCAAAATAGCGCGCGTGTATGATACTTTCTGTCAAAATACAAAGGCGTAACCCTTTAATAGTCATACTGACATCATACATCATCATTTAATACCAACATGTTGCCATCACTTTTCCGCTAGGGTAGTAGGATCGAGTGGAGTCCAATTCGGTCTGTAATCATACTAGTGACTAACAGAATTGGACGATCGCCATGAAAAAGCGCGATTTATTAATCACGAGTACGATTACTGACCGGAATCGGAAGACACCGATTCCTGTTACGATTCAATTCACTTTAACCATCACTATTTCAAAAAGTAGGGCTTGTTATTCCAAAATTTAGATACTCAACCCTAACAATCCTTAAGATTTTAGGATAGTAAGATGTTGCTATGGTTACTACTTTCATCCACCAATCACATTCAAAGAAATTACAATGGTCATGATGAGTATTGTTTAACTTATGTAGCAATCTACCTTAGCTAGATTATTAGCTACATGGCTACACCATCTATCATTAGCTGTATTAGACGCTAAAGTAGATCAATCGTTCTAACGAACGGCTAACCCTCGAACGTCAGCTTTGAAACTCTTTACGGTAGCCAATTTACGTTAACAACTCAGTTGAACAACACAATATCAACTCTGTTGATAACACTTAGGTATCCTGTTATACATTAGCTGGAGACACGCAACCGTTTTCAGTCTTTTACGCAAGCGCGTGACGCTGGCCGGGCAACGTGTTAAAGAATGTTGTTAGTGTCAGTATAGTGATCAAATAAAGAGTTTGTGGAGTTAGGTGAGAGTGCGCTGGTCAAGTTTAGAAAAAGAATATATCACGGAGGGAATTACTCCGCGAAAGAAAATGATGCATGCGCATGTAAAAGCCGACAAAGTTTGAATTAATTTGATAGGAAACACCAAAACCTAATTGTGGTTTTAGACATTAGTTGCGGAAGTATAAGTTTCGGCAAACCAAATGAAGAGCAAGAGACATAAAACTAATTCTGAATTCGCAATTGTCAATCGGCAGAGGTTTGAAGCAGGTTGTAAGAAAAATAAAATCAAGAAAATCATGCTTGTCAACCGACAGTTCAATTAAGTGTTTGAAATGCTATAGACTGACTGAAACCTTTTTCTCTTTTCTCCTCACATTGACATGCACATTCCTTGAGGCTAATTAATTGGTTCTAAAAAGCATTGTGTATAAATCCTCTTTCTCCCGTTTAACAAGCACCTTTCGAGCGATAATTTAACTTGTTCAACCCTACACGAAATAGAGAATAAAGTGTTGCTTTTGTTGTTGTTTTCCTTAGCGAATGTTGTGGCAATAATCACTGTATGACTGCAATGGGGTCAAGAAGATGCAGAATACATTTGTGCGCTTAACTCAAAATTATTGGTGAAATAAGCGAGACCAAATGGCTATCCGCTATCTGTATTGATAAGGGCAAATATAGAAAACATTATTTTTTTTTTTGGCTGAAAAGTTATGACATCTTTGTCTAAATTTTACGAGTTCGAAAGTTCTGAATTAAGTCAATATACGGCAATTATGTTTATGAGAACTATTGGTTAGCATTGATATCACTGGCTCGTGTGACCAATACACAGTTTTCCTGCGTACTTGATGGTCATATCAGCATATTTTAAAAGTGCTGTTAATGTATTTTTTAGTAGATAGCGGCAATGCAAATTAACCTGTTTAAAATTTTTAAAGAATCCCCTCCGGCCATTGACATTGCCTTTTTTTTTCAAATATAATTTTACGAAAATATCTTAAAACCTATACATGCGAATAGATGTCGAAATGTGTCTGAAAATGGTACTATTTGTTTCAGAAATTACACCAAAAATCCTTCATTTTTTATACGGGTTTCATCAAATGTTTAGGTTTTCCCTGCTTAAAATAAGTAAAGTAAAAAAATGATACTATTAGGAAATGATGCGTTCAAATTTGATCTGGATCAGTCTAGCGCTAGATAGATTTTTCGTCTTTATATTATCATGATTTTTTGAAACATTTTTTAGAACGAGAAATATGGATGGATATTTGTTATTCCTAAAAGCGCTGTTCCGTTTCGTTCAGCAACACAATGGTTATATATTTAATAGGTAGTGTACCGTATTTAGTTGCACGCAAACGGAAAATGAGAGAAATAAAAAATTCCAAATAAAAATAATAATACGTAAAAGAGAACTTGAAATGTGATTTAATGGATTCTTCTTCTTTTTTTTTTTTTTTTACAAAAAATATTCTGCTTCTCCAACAAGCGTTTCAAGTGACTGTTTTCGCCAAGCGTGGGCGTTTAGAGAGCCGCTTGTAAGACATTCAATTCCTCCTGTCTTCAGTTGATTTTGACGGGCCATTGTACATAGAGATCTGTTCACATCTTGAATGATAAATTAGCTAACTGTTGATTACTTCCAGTAAAAAATTACCGATATTTTAGGGAAAAAGCTAAAAATCTTTTACATTACAGCTGCAATTTGACGATCATCAAACTGTCGATTCTTAGTCGTTGCAAACGCCACGTGACTTCAGCCTACCCGTTGAAAGTCAAAAGTAATTTATGCGTATTCGGCTTTCTTTAAATTCTACTC